ACCATTATCGAATAGCAAAACCAGGGGCCATTCTTTTTGTATTCCTATGGGCTATGTTCAGCGGAATTCCTTTTTTTTATCCGTTTCGGTCTTCGCAAAGGGGGGTAAATATGGAAATATAATAAATACAAAATAATAGTATATTTTCTTTATAGCTGCTTGCTCTGTTTTCTCGGTTTACTATAACCGCTAAACCGGAATACTCGGATTTAAATTAACAAAAATAAAAAAACAAATTTTTACACTGCCTGATATGACTAGACTTGTTGATTCATCAAAAAATGATGATGTTTTAGCAAAATAGAATTTACTGATTCATTTATATGGATTCCATATATATCAATTAAAATCATATGTTCGTAGTAGGATCAAGGATGGTTTTGTTTCTGTTGTTAAACTTTAATTGAAGGCACTCGTGGATTGTTTACGAAATGTCGGATTGTTATTTTGTACAAATAGAGAAATTATGAACCTGAAACCCCTAAGAAACCCACATCCACACCGCCGATTAGATAAACGACGAAGCACAAACACGTGTATCACGTTAAAACAGTCATTTTTATTTTTGAGTTTTTGTTATAAGCAAAAATATTTTTTATTTATTACGTCACGATGGCGTCAAAGTCTATATTCTCTCGCGCGAGAGTTGTCCACTCAGGTAAACAACAACAAAAGTCGTCTCTGTCCAGCAAATCTTTAGTGTTCGTAAGCTACTCCCGGAGACTCATCGCCGGCGAAGATTACGGACTTAAACGACGACGCTCGTTACCCTCTCCGTTGCTGGGTCTGTACAAAACTTCAAGTCTGATCAAATATAGTATAATTTTACATAGGGAGATATGGGAACTTATCTATACTTTTCCGCTTATGAATTTGCCTCTTCTTTTTCTCCTGTGGTCTGTTATTCACAGGCATAAAAATACTCTGTTAGCATCCATTGCCAACGATTCGAAGGTAACTTATCCTTAAGTAGTTTCTTGTCAAGCTGTTGCGAAATGAAGTTACTAGTTCTATATATATATATAACTAGCTTTCTTATAGTACTCTGCTGTTTAAAAATCAGGTGAGAGTTTGGGATGCAGCTTCGGCATCTTCTTCTGGTCGTTCTTCTTGCTGTGTGGGCATGGCCTCTGTTCAATCTCGATGAAATGTCATGAGTCATTGCTTTATATTGCTGCTGGTTCCTCTGTTGTATCAATCGATTTGAGGACAATGCAAAAGGCCAACACTATTGCGGTCTCACTGCCAAAAATCAACTCATTTGCGATGGTGCCATCATCATCCTTGTTCTGTACTGGTGGAGACGGCAAAGCAATGCTTTGGGATACGAGAAGAAGCTCCTCCAAAGCAGTAGCCGAGATGGTTGGACACAAAGGTCGTATCAGACAACTACATATGGACCAGTACAAGATCGTTACAGGAGGTCCTGAAGATGTGAACGTGAATGTATGGGAGACCGATACTGGCGTGAAAGCTAATTCCTTGGAGTGTTGCGACCAAGCTCGTCTCTTTAACATAAATTTTTCAGCCATGGCTGTACAAGGTCTGAAATTGGTTACATGTGGAGATTCAGAGAACATTTTTTTCAGAGATTTCTATACGGCGACATTGCCTATTTCGACAAGAGTAGTTCAAAGTTTTGGACAAGTCAGGATGATAGCGACAGTGATGATTCAGATTCTGGAGAAGTGGATTGAGATGGAGACAGTACCTCTCATAGCTTTCATTGGAGGGAAAACCAGGTTTGATCTGATAAAAGACGAATCCTTGTGTTATGTTTAAAGTTTGGCTCTGTGAATACTGAAATAGGATAGTAAAAAATCTTTTTATTTTGCAGGTTTTATTTTGTTTTTAGAATACAGAGATAGGATTGTGAAGTGTAAATACTAGATAAAATTCTCGACCATATTAGGATCTTTGAAAATAATACCATTATAGTTTTATCAATTCCAGGTTCATTATCAATCTTTTTAAAATCACATTTTTTCACCAAAATTTTGAATTTTGTACAAATAGAGAAATTACAAAACAGTTACCAAACAGAAGCAAATTGTAGTACAAGAAGTAGCTGTTTCTTGCTTACTTCATCATTATATAATTTTTCCATCACAAAACAAAAAAAAACCCTTACAAGTTAGAACCTTTTGTTCATTTCCACCCCTTAATTAGTCATTTCCTGAACTAGAAGATTAGAAGCGAAAAAGAAACATTGTCCTAAAAAATTTCTTTGAAAGATGGTAAATAAGAAAAAAAAAGTATGTTCTAACAACGTTTTCCGACTCTGCAATCAAGTGCTCCGGCGTATTTGGTCAGCTTCGAAACCGCCATTCCGTTTTTCGGTTTGATCATTTGTCTTCTCGTGTGCGCGCATTTGTAACCAGGAGTTCCAGATTGTCTGAAGTATGCTCCATTCATGAATATATCTTTCTCAGATCTCCAGTTCCAGTGTTTCCACTCGTCTTCCGAAGCATAATCCCTCTTTGTCACCTACATATCCATTAATTATGTAGAATTAATGCCCAAACTTTCATTTGGTGAAGTGTAGCACTGTTCAGTTTTCATTTCTTATACCTCTCTGTAATGAGGTTTGTGTGGAGGAGCAATGAATCGGTTTCCATGGCTGAGAATCGTAGGACCTTGACTTCCTCCGATCGCGTAAAGCTCCCAATGAGTGTAGTCATTGTTCACAACATGAACAAATCCCCATCGGATCCTTGGCATCCTCTGGACTAGTCCTTTACCAAAATGGTTATAAGCCACTGTGACTTGCATCTTCTTGTCCTCTTCATTCGTGTTTTGCGCACCAAGCAACATCACCTACATAAACAAAAGTCCCCCAAAAGAACAAATATAGTTTGTAAATCAAGTGATGCTAGTGTAGTAGTTATCTTTCGTCAATATCATTATATGGATTAATTTGAAATGCTCACGTCGTTGTGGTGAGTGAAGTGAGAGTTGGAGATTGTAATGCCAGTGGATCCAACAATGGCATCAATGAGTCCATCTTGACATTTCGACATGGAAATATGGTCAAGCCAAACGTTAGACGAGCCGTAAATCGATATACCGTCTCCATCGGCTCTAGTCCTCATTCCGAAATGGTCTACCGAGTCTCGGATCATACCACCGTTACTCTCGCAAATGTGGTGAATGTGCAATCCATGGATAATGACATTTCTCACAAACTGCATTGTGATCCCTGCGCCATGTGCGATATGGACATCAGCTCCACGCGCATCGATGGTTTTGTGGCTATTAATCAAGAGCTCTTGATTTAAGCGAATGTGCATATCGTTCTTGAAAATGATCCAGAGAGGTTCCTTCTGAATCACGGCATGACGCAATGTCCCGGGTACAGGGTTCACCATGTCATCGTCGAGGTTGCTTGTAACCACGTAGATGCGTCCGCGTTTTCCTCCGGTCGTCCTGTGGCCGAACCCACGGACACATTTAACAAGCCTCTTTCGACGCCTAGCCCAATCCGAACGGCAACGCCAACATTTATCGATCGGGTTACTTGCTGTACACGGTCCCTTAAGCTTACTCCATTTTCCTCTGCCTTTCCCTCTTAGACTCCTTCTCGTGCTGTTCGTGGAGCCTCCGACCATTTCAATGACCTCATGTTCGTCCTCTTCATGCGTTTCCTCCCCTTCATGCGTTGCACTGCCTTCTTCCTCGGGTGTGGTAACATCAGTAGAGTTGCTATATATATTATGTATACAAAACCAAAACATTAGTGATGTTTTTTTTTGTTTTGGTTGAAACTTAGATATTGACTTGACTTACTCGTAATGACGCTCGTGAAAGTGATCAACGACTTCGTAAGGATCAGAATGATAAGCTTGAAGAGTGAATTCTCGAGCTTCGTCGGCTCGCTGCGACCAATACTCATCCAGCTCAGAAAGGTTGGCTCGAATGGTTGGAATCAGACCGGCAATACAAAACACAAACATCAACTTTAACAGCTTAGCCATCTCCATCTTTTTCTATACTATTATTTTGTTTAATCTCTTTTCTCTCTTAGAAAACAGTTTTTATATTAAAAAAAAAAAACAATTCTATTTTTGTCACTTATTTTCTTAAGGGGTTAAGGTTAAAGTGGAGAAATTACTAAGCTCTCAACATGGCTTTAGGTCG